CATGATTTATACTAACCATATATAAATATAATTAATCTATTAAATTAACGTTACATGATATCAAAACTCGAGTGATGTTATTTTTATGAATAATATATAATTTTTTATGCCACAAAAATTATTCATCCACCCATCGTGGCTCGTATATCAAAATTTTGTGATCTTTTAGTTACATACATATATGTTAATCTGCAGGGGCGGAGCCAGCCTCATCATTCATCGGGGTCAACAATATTTTTTAGTGTGGTCATTAACCTAGTAAACAGTGTTTGAACAGTATTTTATACTAAAAATTTTGAAATCTATAGGGGTCAGCTGACCCCAGCGGCAAGGTGCAGCTTCGCCCCTGTTAATCCGATGGATCGTGTATCATGATTTTGTAAACTTTCAGTTACATACATATATGTTAATCTCTCTTTATATCAATTGATGTTATATTAACTCGTATTCACTATGAGTAAGTATTAGAACCGAGGAAGAGGGTGCGGTCCCACCAGGTGAAGCACACCATAAAAGAGTGAATTTATGTGTACTTTAGTGATGTTCCATTTCAAAACCAATTGGTGATGGAAGGAATAGCACACTAGACATATATTTTATTCTCATTTACCCTTAAAATAAATGTGGGACAACTCACAAGTGATATTCTAACACGTCCTTACCCTTGTGAGTCCTTCGTAAGCCCAAGCTCACAGAGTAGGTTGGGTAAAGTAAGCACAATCCCATGTCGTAAGCCAAGTCCACATAGTAGGTCGAGTAAAGCAAGCTCAAGCCCCAAGCAGGCTGTGTAGAGAAAGTCATTGCAAATTATATGACATGCTCGCTCCGATACCATATTAAAACCGGGAGAACAGGGTGCGGTCCCACCAGGTGAAGCGCACCATAAGAGGGTTAACCTAGGTGCACTATTGAGGTCCAATCCCAAAACCAATGAATGATGAGATGAGTAGCCCACTAGGCATATATGCTAGACTCATTTACCTATAGAATCAATGTGACACAACGCACAACTGATATTCCAACAACAAATCAAAGTGGAAATAGATAATATCAACTATGCAAATGCAAAGTAGTTATATCTAAAACAATACAATATGGTTATCAACATCACAACCCATTGGGGATTAGTAAAGCCGTGGAGATTAATAACTCGCATTTGTTTTAGTAAAAGTCTTCGTTAGCGTGCTGCCTTATCTAAGTGCCCATTTAACTTGTGGTGGATGAAACTAAAAAAAATCAAAAAATCAAAACTACTACGACAAAGCAAAAAAAAATATATATATATACAAAAAATAAAATAAATAAAAAAAAAGAGTACACAAAATAGATATTCCGAGGTAATATTCCTTGGCACAAATCAAATTAAAAACAATATATATGATTGGTCTAATATAGTTGTTTGAATATTCCGCCTTCAGATCAAAATTTTATGGGATCGTGTTTGTGTTGGATTATTATTATTGTTATTAATACTATACAGCTAATCACCCTTTAAGAATTTGAATTGTACTCTCATACCATTTGAATTTGCTTCTTATTATTATTATTTTTTATTATTAGTATCATTATTATTTATTTATTATTTTATTTTCTCTCTCTATGTCTCTTATTTTTAAATTCTTCTTTTTTTTTTTTTAAAGAAAAAAGTTGTTTATGGTTGCTGGCTGCTAGCAGACCTCCTCGTAGCATTGGTATGATCACACAGATTATTCAAACTTCACATGATCAAAATTTGATTTTGGGACCTACCATCGAAGATTTCATATGTTTAACAAAAAAGATTATCTTATAATTTGGTCGGGTGGGTTCGTATTTTTCATTTTCTTTAATTAATCTAGAGAATATTATAAATTGTACATGTACGTACCCCCAATATACAATAATATAACTATATTATTGTACAAATTAGATATAGTTTGTCAAAATAGAATAAGATTTTCGTTAGTTATCATTCAAATTTGGATTTCTTAATGTTGTAAAACTTTATAGTATGTCTCAATCTTAATTATTTTAAAATTCAAACCGACCAATTAGCCACATTACTAATGGTTCACACTTTGTCCAACCATAACTAATTATTATAATATCATCTCATTTTTATTTGTTCAAAATTAAGATATGTTTGTCCAAAATCAATTGTTAATTACAACACTAATCCATAGTTTGTCAAAATAGAATAAGATTACAATATTTTCTTTTTTTAGGCCTGTATTTTTTCATTTAATGATTGTTCAATTTCATATATATTTTTTTTTTAATTTTATTTATGTAAAAACTGTAGTCAAAATCTTGGCCATTAAATTCCAAACCAACCCCCATTACGTATTTTGGAGTCCCATATTGGTAAGTCGGTCCTTCGTTCTTATCTATCCGCACCCCTTACTCGTCTTCTCCATTACAAAACAAAAATTTTAATAGAAAAAAACATTACTAACATGTTTCCTTAATAATATAAATTATCCACTTTCTAAAAACCTCCCTTAAAAATCAACAAGCCCTTTACCCTCAAAAATCACAGCGCTTGTTAATGTCTCCATGTTTTCATTTTGTGTTCTGAGTTTTCGAAAAAACACACATTCTTGTAGTTTTCAACACCCTCAGATAGCATTCAAGGGCGGGAAAAAAGGAGTCTTTTTGCTGCCAATTTCTTGGTCAAGCACACATTGAGCCCAGCTTCTTCTCGAATCCTGTGATTTTTGAAGTGGGCCTTTTGTTTTCTTTGTTGATTATTTTTTTTTTAATTTTATTTTTTTCATTTTCCGATTATGCTGTCAAGATCCTATTTTAATCTCTTGAACCTCGAGGATTACTCGAGCGATCGCACTCGGGTCCCGAGAGTGATTTCTATGACGGGGGTGATTTCGGATTACGAGGACGGGAACAATGCGCTGAGCCCACAATCCGACTCGTCTCTTCAAGAGAGGCGGGTAATCGTGGCCAATCAGTTGCCGTTGATTGCCCGCTGCGAGAATTCATCGGGAGGGGTTAAAAAATGGAGCTTTGATTGGGACAGAGATGCTCTTGTTCTGCAGCTCAAGGATGGGTTCCCCCCAGATGTGGAGGTTGTCTATGTCGGGAGCCTGAGCGTGGAGATTGATCCGGCGGACCAGGATGACGTGGCCCAGCTGCTTCTAGATAAGTTCAAATGTGTGCCCACTTTCTTGCCTTTGGATTTAATCAACAAGTTCTATCACGGTTTTTGCAAGCATTATCTATGGCCCTTGTTTCATTACATGTTGCCCCTGACCCCTAGCCACGGGGTCAGGTTCGATAAGTCCACGTGGCAGGCTTACGTGTTGGCGAACAAGGTTTTTGCAGATAAAGTGATGGAGGTCATCAACCCGGATGAGGATTATGTCTGGGTTCATGATTATCATCTCATGATTCTGCCTACTTTCTTGAGAAGAAGGTATCACAGGGTGAAGCTGGGCTTTTTCCTGCACAGCCCATTTCCCTCGTCCGAGATTTATCGGACTTTACCTGTTAGGGAGGAAATTCTGAGGTCCCTTTTGAACTGTGACCTGGTTGGGTTCCAAACGTTCGATTACGCCCGGCATTTTTTGTCATGTTGTAGTAGGATGCTCGGTTTAGATTACCAGTCCAAGAGGGGCTATATTGGGCTGGATTATTATGGCCGGACGGTTAGTATCCGGATCCTCCCCATGGGAATTCATATGGGTCAGATTCAGTCTATCATCTCTTTGCCCGATACCGCTGGTAAAGTTAGAGAGTTGAAGAAAAAGTATAAAGGGAGAACCGTGTTGTTGGGTGTGGATGATATGGACATGTTTAAGGGCATCAGCTTGAAGTTCATGGCTTTTGGGCAGTTGTTAGACGAAAATCCCATTTACAGAGAAAATGTCGTTCTTGTTCAGATCATGAACTCTCCCAGAAGTCGAGGCAAGGATATTCAGGAGGTTCAGAACGAGATCAGTAGAGTAGCGGACGAGGTTAATCAGAAACACGGAAAACCGGGTTACAGCCCAATCGTCTGCATAAATGGGCCCGTGTCTTTTCAAGACAAAGTCGCTTATTATGCGATTTCTGAGTGTGTTATCGTGAATGCCGTTAGGGATGGGATGAATTTGGTGCCTTATAAATATACCGTCTCTAGACAAGGTAGTCCCGATTTAGACAGGGCACTCGGTGTTGAAAATTCGGGAAGTTTAAAGAAAAGCGTCATTATTGTCTCGGAATTTATCGGGTGTTCCCCATCTCTGAGTGGTGCCATTCGTGTCAATCCTTGGAACACAAATAGTGTGGCCGAGGCCATGGTTTTGGGGCTAACGATGTTGGACTCTGAAAAGGAATTACGTCATGAGAAGCATTTTAAGTTTATTAAGTCTCATGATGTTGCGTATTGGGCCAGGAGCTTCGATCAGGATCTCGAGAGGGCATGTGCCGAGCATTACAAGAAGAGGTGTTGGGGAATCGGGTTCGGTTTGAATTCGAGGGTAGTTGCCTTGGGTCCTAATTTTAGGAAGCTTTCAGTCGAGCACATTGTTTCTGCTTATAACAATACGAATAGCAGGCTTATACTTCTGGATTATGACGGTACTATGATGCCGCAGGATAGAGTGGACAAATCTCCTAGTCCGGAGATTATTTCTGTCCTAAATGGTTTGTGTAATGATCCGAAGAATGTCGTGTTTATTGTTAGCGGGAGAGGAAAAGATTCTCTCGGAAAGTGGTTCGAGCAGTGTGAGAATCTTGGGTTGTCTGCCGAGCATGGTTACTTTACTCGGTAAGAATATTTTTAGACCAAGATTGGAGTAATTGGGCTTAGACCAAAAGAGTGTTATTTTTTTTAGTAATTTATTATATTTGTTTCATTTTTTTTTTCCTGAACTTGTCTGTATTTGTATCTTGATAGGTGGAGAAAGAATTTGCAGTGGGAGTCTTGCCCGTTAGCAGTCGATTTGGATTGGAAGAAAATCGTGCTGCCCATAATGGAGCACTATACGGAGGCCACAGATGGGTCGTCCATAGAGCAAAAAGAGAGTGCTATAGTTTGGCATCATCGAGAAGCTGACCCAGATTTTGGCTCGTGGCAGGCAAAAGAGCTTCTTGACCATTTGGAGAGTGTGCTTGCTAACGAACCAGTGGTGGTGAAAAACGGGCAGCAAATAGTCGAGGTGAAACCACAGGTATAAAATTAGGGGATAAAAATCATAAAATACTCTTACTATTTTTTACCATTTTATTTACTTATTTATTTTCCATCTGTGCAGGGGGTAAGCAAAGGGGTTGTCGTGAGGAACTTAATAGAGGCCATGAGGAATACGGGAAAGCAGGCCGACTTTGTTCTGTGCATAGGTGATGACCGTTCAGACGAGGATATGTTTGAGGCCATTGCAGGGTCAGTGGCTGACAGCTCGCTGCCCAACTCGGCCGAGGTTTTTGCTTGCACAGTTGGCCAAAAACCGAGCATGGCTAAATATTACTTAGACGACACATTTGAAGTTATTAAAATGCTGCAGGGCCTCTCGTCTGCTTCGGGGCAGCAGCTGCCCAAGCCGATGTCTCAGGATATTGTCTCGTTCGAGGGCTGATGATGAGGTTTGATATTTTGTTCTTTTTTTTTTTTTACAAAGGTAGTTTTAATCAAGAAATGGGAAGGAATGAAGGAAGAGGAATACAAGTTTTTGTGTACATATGATTATACATAATGTGATTGCAGGTCGTGTTCGATTGTCGTTGGACAAACACTATTTTTTTTTTTTCCAACAGATTTCGACATCTCGTAGGAAAAAGGAGTGTTAGGATTTTCTGAGCATTTTGTTCATAGTGTTGTGTTTGCATTCGATGATGATGATGATGATAAACAGATGCCTTTTGTTGAAACTTTACAATTTGTATAGATTGTTTGGACTTGTTATATGTTATCATTTTCGGATTTGCCGGTTTCAGTTTTTTCCTTCTGCCTTTCTCATGTTGAGGTTACCTTATTACCGATGTACAGCAGTAAAATGTTCCACCCCTTGTGTACTTGTTTGTAGTAATTCCAAAAAAGTTACTAGGAGAAAGAAAAAAAGCAAAAAGAAAAATTACTGAAACACGGGAAATGAGAAAAACGAAACTAAAAATTATAATAAATAAATAAATAATAAGAAAGAGGAAGACAATCCACTACCATAAAAGGCTTACGCTAAGTACGGGCTACGCATTGCATTGAACTTGGGATTCACTCTTCAGACGGCTTTAACGGATTCTATGGGCGTAATTAGCGGGGTTTCGTACCAGAAAGAGCTCGATCATTTGATGGGAATGTTTAACGACATTAGAGCACTCTTCATTTCTCTTGATTGTGGCCAATGAGGTTATTTACCAAGAGAACAAAATGGAGTGGCCCACAACATAGCGAAATGGACGGTTGCTTTGCAATCATCCCATGTTTGGAGTGATTACTCCCTATTTTCTTCTCTCTTTTTTTTTTATGTAGTTTTTAACTCGGTTAGTATCTGATTGTATTGATCTAGTTTATAAAAAAAAAAAAAGACTTACGCTAAGCACACATTGTTGTCAGACTACCTAATCGTTAGACAAACATATTTATTTTCTTGTACAAAATGAATACTTAAAAAATGAAATGAAATGTTATGATTTAGTTTATGTTATATATTAGTATGATATTTAATTATAAGAATATGTACTTATTACACAACTATGACCTTTTGATTATTAGGCAGCCTTAGACTTAATGTACTTAAAAAGACTTATCCAAAGAGGTAAAGACAACAAATAGTGCTTGGATTTGGATAAGGACATTGCTTTTGCAATTCCAAAGAGAGCTTCCTAGAAGTGAAGGTTGTCTCCATTAAAGTTGCTATCGAAACAAATTGTTCATAGATACAATTCGATTTGAACATGCGCATAATAAGTCATTTTGTTACTTAAAAATAATAGTAGCTTGGTTTCATAATCAAGTACAAATACAAAGATGAAATATACTTATTATGTGGAAGTATGAAATAAGTCATATTTCCTAGAGCTACAAACGAGTCGAGCCGAGCTCGAGTTTAGGGTGCTCAAGCTCGAGCTCTTTACAAGCCAAGCCGAGTCGAGCTCGACTCGTTAAGTAAACGATCTTAAAATCGAGTTTTAGTTCTACTCGTTAAGGCCTCGAGCTTGAGCGTTAACGAGCCTATCTCGAGCTTTAACTCAAGTTCACATGGCCATGCTAAAAAAAGGTTTATTCATTTGGCACCAGCATCCTCCTCCGACAACCATTCGAGGCCAGAGATTGCCTGTGTCGATCCCCTTTCACTCTCTTTCTTTAGGTTTGAGCTCATATTTAGTTCAATTTTATCAGATCTGTCTAGCCGTTAGTGCTGGATAAATAAATTATAAACGGCGAATTAAGAACGAGTATCAATACATATACGCATTAAGAATTTGTAAATAGAAATCACAAACATCAACCACAGGAACGTGATATGAAACAATAGGTTTCTATTAGTAAATAAATAAGTTTATTATAAAAATAGATAACTTAACTGACAGTTCTATATTTTCATAGAACACGAATAGCCGAATCACAGAAATAATTTGTTATCTTTGAAGAAATAGACTTCCCGATACTGTGCAACGAGTACTACGCCTTTTCTCCCAGGATAAGATGACTCAAAGTGTGAAGACTTTACTATCTAACACACTCACCTCGATCAGAAGCTCAGTCGCAAGAACCCTTAATTTTTCTAAGTATTTGGAAGATGAAAGAGAATATATATGTATATGTTCCTTTTTCTTTTCTTTCACTTGGTGTGTCTTTCCCATAAGCTTCCATGCACCTTTTATAGTGCTCATAAGGCAAGCTTGCATTCAATGAAGAGGAGTTCATTCAATGCCTTCATTAAGGCAAAAGTAATGAAACATTGAGTTTCATCTCACTTCTCAAAACCGAACAAACATAATGCTCGGTTATGTATTTCAATGAATTGAGATATTTACATTAAACACATCCTTTTATCTAAGGATTCCCACAAGAGAGCCGCCGGTTTTTAGCACTTTTTTGAAGTAAAAAATGAAATACAGCCA